TCGATCCACGGCAATTGTCGAATTCGACCTTGACACCGCCCTTGGCTCCATTGCTGGACTGGAGGGCGGGGTATTTGCTTGCCTCGAAGGCGAAGGGGTAGGGGTTGGTGTTGACGATGGACTTGGACATTTTGGATGCTGTTGGGATTTGAGTTGCTCTTTGCTAGAATGCTGATGAAGATCATCATAACCTCATGGACCGATCGCTCCTCCTTCGCACTTATATACTGGACATGTCCGCATCACGCTCCGAATTCAGGACCGATGACCGGTGCCGAACCGGCGAGTTGGGACAGTGTACATTATACATTTTGCCGTGTGTTGTGTGATGTGCGATGTGTGCATCATACCTACACTTGCAATGGCGCTCAGGTCCATTTCCCGAGCGTTGGGTCAAGACATCCATCGTTTTTGAGAGGATACCCTCGATTTACATGCAGCCCAGTATCAACCAACTCATGGCTAGTCACATGACCCTTGCCTTGATACATTCAATGGAGAAATTAATAAACCCTCCTCCAGTCTAACCCTTCAAACTGGTCTGCGTGATTGATCTCAATTGATTTTCTTGCTTTGGGCTTTGATGGGGATCCCCGCGTGCATCATGACATTGCGGCCGATGTGTCTAGGGTTCTACCAATTGCATTATATGGAGACTGGCAAGGTACCAATCTATACCAGCTGTACCCAGGATATGAAGAGAAACCACAAGTACATTCCGGTCACGGCCATTAGATCGAAGCCACAGGGAATGAACTCTCCCCAGTCAGTGGACCGCAGCGGATGCAGCCGGACCGTCGCGGATAGTTGCGGTATTCATCGTCTCCCCTCAAATACCCGTCTGTCCCGCTGCATCTGAACCAAGGTGGAACTTGTGTCCATTGTCCAATGTCCGGACCGGGATTACAAGATGGATCGAGGGGAAACGCAGACCTCGGACGCTTCGAGCAATCAGCGCTCCTTCAAACGGGGCTATGTCGCCTGCGTCTCGTGTCGAGCACGCAAGTCCCGGTGCATTGTCAAGGAGAAGCCGCCCTGCTCGAAATGCGCCAGAGAACATCGAGAATGCCGGTTTGATCACCGGCCGAAGGCCCCCAAGCACCGTGAACCACCGAAATGGACCCAGTCTGAGCAGCCGTCAGACACCGCTTCAAGGCAAGCCGAGCCTGCAGCACCATATGCCTCTCCTCAGAACCCAGACATTGCGCTGGATAACTATCAAGCACTGCCGCAGGATGTCCGGCCCCTTGGGCACTCACCCAACAATGCCAACCAAACCTTGTATGATCGCGTGCGATCGACAATCGTCACTAGCACCAACGACGCACTGGATATTCTGTCTGATGCTGCTGGTCAACAGCATAGTGTTGCTGGGTCTACCCCATCTCAACCCCAGCCGCCGAGGAGTGCTTCTCAGAATGCTGGTCCAACGGTGATGCCCGGCGAGTATAGCGGGCTTGGGTTCACTATCACTGCACTGTCCGAGGCTGACGATGCCACGCTCGACATGTGGGACAAGTGTCGCTTTGTCCGCCAGGGATGGTTTACAGCCCAAGAGGCCGTCACCTACATTGACCTGTAAGTTACATTGCCATCGGTTCTGTTGTATCAGCGGTGGCTTGACATTTTCAGATTCTTTGAGAAACTAGCCCCTATGGCTCCCATCATCCTCGACCAATTTCGCCCTCACGCTGCCCATGCGCGCCTAGTCTATGAAGAAGCCATGCTCTGCTGCACATTGTTGATGATTGCGTCTCGCTTCTTCACATTTCCTGGAGCAGGTGGCACTTCCAGGAGTCACTATGTCCATCAACGACTTTGGAACCACTGTGAGGTCTTGATCAGACGAATCCTCCTAGGACAGGAAAAGACGTCGACGTCACGAACCAGGACGATAGGCACCGTTGAGAGCCTGTTGCTGATATCCGACTGGCATCCCCGGGCCCTGCACCTGCCACCAGAAACCGACGGATGGGACGGCCTCCTCATCTCCCCCGAGTACGACCGCGTCAACCGCAAGCACACAAACAATGAAGCCCCCCTCATCAGATGGCGAGAAGATGTTTTCGAACCTGCCAAACGAGCTAATAGAATGTCTTGGATGTTGTTGGGCATGGCCAATAACCTGGCGTATGAGCTGGGCATACTCTCAAATCAGCAGCTCGACCTCTCACGACCCTTAGATCCGGATACCCTGCGCAGAATACGGGCGCAGAAGCTGCTTTATGTGTATGTGACGCAGACGGCTACGAGACTAGGCTATCCGTCTGCCTTTCCGGAGAGTATCTCCGTTACGGCTTCCCACTTGCCGATGCAGAACACGAGTGAACCTTCTCATCGCTCTTGGGCGGCTCACATGGATCTGACGCTTGAGCTCACCCAGTTATCACGCACAGCTTCGTCCATGTTCTTCCAGTCTGCCTCGCATCTCCAGAGTCAGGTGCTTGGCGGCCATTACGCCGACCTTTTGGAGCACTTTGCCAGCTCATTGGCCAAGTGGCAGCAGAAATTCGACTCTGTAAGCAAGGGTAAGCGACATTCTTCCCCTCAACAATCTTGCCTTGGCTAATTAATGTAGACATCAAAACACCCCTCCGAGACACCCTCCTCATCGAATTCCACCACCTGAAAGCCTGCACCAGCGCCATATCAATCCAAGCCGTCGTCGCAAGAGCGTCCTCTGCGGGATTCACAACAGGAAACACCGACGCAGACGAAGTCCTCTCCGCATTCATAACGCCCAAAGACGCAAAATTCCTCCAAGAAGTAATCGCAGACACCAAAATAGTCCTCCACATTGCGACCATAGGCGACTTTAAAGCCCAGTTTCCCTACGCCCCCGCCCGCGTGAAAATCAGCGTCATTTCCTCGTCGGTTTTCCTTCTGAAAGCGCTCAGCGTTGGTCCTACACATACAGACGTCAATGATGCGCTACATGTATTGGACCAGTGCACTTCTACACTGAGCTCTTCCCCGCCTGATGACATGGACTTTGCACTGAGGTATGGTGCGTTGATTGAGAACCACACAGCGCAGTTTCGTGCGCATCTGACTAGAGCGCCGGCTTCGGGCGAGCAATCTCGAGGGTCTGGTATGGGGTCTCAGGCTGAGGGGTCATCATCGGATCCCTTTACAGCTGATTTGAATGGACAGCAGCAACAGGTAGAGAGTGATCTGGGATTTTTCGGGTTTGATGGGAATGGAGGGGATATGTGGATTTCAACACCGTTTGATTCGAGTATTGCGCCGTTTGGGGGAGGGTCGAACCAGGTTTCGTTGGGGTTGGATGTTGATTCACTTAATTTTCTGTGGAGTTTGCCTGGGCTGGGGACGGAGGAGCCTGGCTTTGAGTAGCTGAAGGGGCTTTGATGGTTCTCCTTTAGGTCTAAGGCTCTTCTAATCTAGGAAAGGAGGTATATTTATATTAAACTAACCTTATTCTAGCTAGTTACATTAGGTTACATAATGCCTCGGTTCTAATAACACTCTCGTGATGATCCTCTGCGATTGGCCACATTCGGCGTCCTTGCAACTGAGCGATGTTTTTTGCCTGAAAGCATTGCCATAATATCTGCCTTGGGCATTGATTTGCAGAAATTTCAGAGGGATAATTCCACCATTAGTCAAATACTGAGGGGCTATTGACTCGTATCTCCGACTGCGAGATATATATCTATCTATATCCGTTGCGGTGGAGCTGGTCTCCGATGAGATCTCCGAACGACCCGCGCTCACGGTCCGATCGGGGATAATGACCAGGTTCATGCAGTTGAATTTTTGGCCCGAGGGACTAGGAAAAGGAGAATAAGCGAGGAAGTAGGGGTCTTCCCGCCCAGCTCAACCCCTTCTTCCAACAAGATATTCCAAGAGCACAGAAAGATATGGAAGCGACTCGCCATGAGGACCAGCCGGCGTCTGAACCAGGAGAATCAACACCCCAGAATGAGGCCGCAGTGGTGAGGCCACGCCGGCGGGCTAGGAAGCCAGTCAACTGTTTGCCCTGTAGAACGTCTAAGGTACGATGTGACAGGAGGCTTCCGTGTGAAGCCTGCACACGGCGTGGATGCGTGGACGCTTGCAAGTTCACTGGCACCTCTCCTTCGCCCCCAACCGGAGAGGCAATGACATCAGTGCCACATGGCCAGAGGAATTACAAGAGGCAAAGTGCGCAGCCCACAGCAGAACAGGATCACACCACATTGGAGACGAACCAGAGCAGCCAAGCCTTCACACACACGCAATGGGAAGAAGTTCTGCAGCGCCCGATCGACCAGATAGGTCAATCACAGTACGACCCCGGTAGTCTTTTTTCTCAGCCAGAAAACATCTGTTTTCCCTTCCCGTTTGGGCCCAAGGTATCCAAGAACGAACTCCTTTCCGCACTGCCTCCAGCATGGTCTTGTGAATATCTCATCACCCAGTACTTTGTGCGCTTGGCTCCCTTTTTCCACATCCTGCACGGCCCCAGCTTCCAGAAAGAGTACAAAGCTTTTCAGGAGGACCCTTCTGCAGTGGAATTGTCTTGGCTGGCCCTGCTGTTCTTAATTTGTTCAGTCACCATCAATACTATGGATGATTATGATGCTGTCCTCGGTGACATTGTTTCCAAATCACCGCGAAGTCATGATAGCTTGAATATATCTCACCAGTACCGTGTCATGGCCATGGTATGTCTCTGTCAGGATAATTTCTTGGTCCGCCATCGCCTCAGTACTCTGGAAGCGCTGCTAGTTCTCATCTACACCGTCAGCCATAACGAGGGCGTTGAGCGCTGTTGGGTTATGCTCGGTAGGCTTATTCACCCATCCGCCTGTTGTGTTTGGTTTGGTTGGCTAAATTTGGATCCAGGGATGGCATTGAACACTGCTATCGCGTTGAAGTGTAATATGACTAAGCCGTGCCCAGAGCTGAATTGCATTGAAGTGCAACGGCGTCGCCGTTGCTGGGCTGGCTTACTGATGCTCCATACATATCAAGCGATCCTTTTTAGGGATGTAGACATGTCCTTTCTCATCAATATCGATGCCGTGATGCCTGCGGACGTCAATGACAACGACATCACGGAAGATGGGGTCTTCCAGACCTCCACTCAGCCGACTCAAATGTCCGCAATGATATTCAAAATCAGACTTTTTCGGCTCTCCAGCAAAATTTGTCAGGCAATAGAAAATCTTTCCCACTTGGATGAAATAACCCTAGGAAATCTAGATGCAGAGGTCGGCGCGGAGCAGCACCAGTGGGACTCGGTCTTTCTTGTTGATGGCTCTCCCAGCTTGCTCGACACATCGAGCTACGCACATTGGTGCGTATTGCAACTCTATGCTCATCAGCTCTACCTCCTCTTACACCGCCCATTCTCTCATCCGCAGCCGACGAATGGACGTTCGTACCTGGCGGCGTCCAGAGAAAAATGCATAGCGTCTGGGGCCGCCCTACTGGACATTCATCGCCAGCTTGTGGAGCTCCCTCGCCTGCGTCATTACAGGTGGTACGCTCATGGGATGTCTGGGTTTTGCGCTTTTCATGGCGCTGTTGCATTGGCGTCATGCCTTTTGGCCGGCACCAGCGAGGAGTTCGAGTCGCGCTCCTATCGGGCCATGTTTGACGGTGCTGTTCTGCGCATCGGTCTTCTACAAAACAAAAGCCCCATTTGTGTCAAGGCATATCCAATCCTTGGCCACCTGCAGTGAGTATCTCCTTCCGAATTCCTGCCTGCCAACAATTCGGCTGATATATGTACCTTGAGCAGGAGCCTCCTTTCGCCAAGCCAGTTTCAGTGGTCCGACTCGGCGGGCCATGAGTTCGGATATTCATTCGACAACTGGATTGACACAATACAGTGGCTCAACCCGGATTCTGTTAACTGGGTACGTATTTTGGCACTGGTATTATAACGAGTTGAGTTTAAAGACTGATAATGCCTTCTAGGATGTTTGGGATTCGGTGCTGCATGGTTGAAACTGCGTTTAATTGAACGGAGAATATGTGATTTCGTCTGAAAAGCCGCTGAAGGGGAGGACTTGGCAATGCTAAGTGCATATCGTAGTCTGTTGAAGTAACTGAGGATCTGGGTGCCCCGTTCATACGGCTGCGCACGACACCACCACACAAGTAGAGGAAGAATACAGGTGCGTTATTCGGCTCCGCGTCTTCATAGAATTTCCGTCTCTCATTATCACAATGAAATCACTGAGTAACGGGAAAACTGTGGTCGAACCTTACCCAGACCGTGTGTGGCGATTTTCTTACCAAATGGGGATTTTATATTAAGTTATAGAGGTGATTTAATGGGGTATAAAAGCTTCAATTATCCCATTCGCGTCATCATATGTTGAATTAACTAAGGCTTAAACTGACATTAAAGTATCTGATTTCAAGCATTACGTAGAAAAGTGGAAGATTCTTGTTGAGGAGCCTGTTGTCCTTGATGGAATTTCAATTAATTGTATCACGATCTCGTTCTCCTTCTGAGTCCTTAGGGTACGTGCGTCTCCTTGGTTGTTCCATCTGCAATATGATATCATGAGATATTATTTAAGATCTTTCTTCTTAACCTATGAGCTACATACATCACGTGGTGATACCTGATGCCACATTGTTCTATTGGTTTCTCCTCAATTTGGTTCCGGATGAAGTTACATTTGCGTGATGCCTAGAAGCTGTAGATAGCTCTGTAAACAACCTCGGGGCTTTCGTAGACGTGCCAGTGGCCAGTGTTGCGCAGAATCTCCAGGCCGGAATTTGGGAGGCGTTCGCGAATCTTGCTCACCGCGGCGACGGGAGCTGTCTTGTCCTCGTCGCCAGTCACCACCAGAGTAGGACACTTTATCTTCTCAAAGGGAATAGCGGGTGCATTCACTAGAGCCAGGCAGGCTTTGGCGTATCCCTCCGGGCTCGTGGCGAGGAGCGAGGCCCTGGTGGCCGCGAACGCGACTGGGCTATACCGCTTTGTGAAGTCAGAAGTTCCCGCGTCGGCAACAGTGCACGCCGTCCCTGAAGCCAACATACCCTTGGACCGCACATCTCTAGCACGCTGAGTGATTGCTGCACGTCCAGGATCACCAAGTGGAGTAGTGACGGGCCCCAGTAGGATAAGCTTGTTGATCTTCCCGGGCTGGCGGAGGGCATAGGTGCTTGCAATGAGACACCCTAGAGAGTGAGCGACGAGAGTGATTGGCCCAGAGGTGCCAATATGCTCAATCACGTGTTGGAGGTCATCAGTCAGGCTCTCGATACGCACGTTGGCGGCGATCTCAGTAGCAGAAAGGCCGTGGCCCTCAAGGTCGTAGACAAAGCTGGTGAATCGAGATTTGAATTCCTCGACCTCGACGATGGGGGTGAAGAATTCTGCTGTCCCACCCAGCCCGTGGACAAAGACTGCCGTTTCGTGCCCGTCTCCAATCTTCCGAACGTTGATGTATTTGTTCCCAATCAACATCAGACCTTGACCCCCCACAGTATTCTCTAAATTGAGATTGGCAAGATGCGATTCTAGATCGACAGCCTTTGGAACCGGGTTTTGCATGCCAAAGTCTCCAATTGTATTTGTCAAGGTTCCAAGGCCGGCAACTGAAACCTCAATTTTGTCACCTGGTTTTAGGAACTTCTCGGGCTTGAATCCAAGGCCAACTCCAGCGGGAGTGCCAGTAGCTAGGACGTCGCCGGGGCGCAACGTGATGCTCTCGGACATTGTCTTAACCAAGGTAGAGACTGAGAAGATGAGGCTCCGTGTACTTGAGTCTTGCCTCTTCTCTCCATTAACGAACGTTTGGATCTGGAGATGTTCCGGAAGATCCCCTGCGGGGACTGCGAGTGGTCCCTTGTAGTTCCTCAAATCAATACTCATGAGTCATTCAATGTGTATGAGATAAACGTACCATGGGACAGAAGGTATCAGAGGACTTCCCAATGTAGAATTGCTTGTGGTCACGCTGTCTCTCTCTTGCTGTCATATCTGCGAAGCTATGTGTTAATACCGTGGCATGTGCAAAGCTGTGAGTTTATTTTCTTACCGTTAATAATTGTGTATCCCCACACATGATCCATTGCATTCGACTCGGAGATCTGGTAGCCAGACTTTCCGATGATGACACCGATTTCTCCCTCGTAGTCAAGCGAGGATGTAAAGTCTGGATGTGGGAGAATTTTCTCTCCGGAGGCGATAATGCTCGTCGCTCTCTTTGTAAATATTACTGGATGAGTGGCTAAGAAGAAATGAATTGTCAGTAAAATTGAATACATCCACCATATTCGATGATACGACAGGGAACATAGGGCAAGGCAAGGCCACTCACGCTGGTCTACTTTGTCGCTGGAGTCATATCCGCTTCGGTTGAACTCAGCAGCATGCTCCGCATAATTCTTTCCCACAGCGAGAATATCACGGTCCTTTATAGGAGCTTGAAGTGTGACACCGGATAGGGGTATGGAGTCTCCGTCAGCCTTCACAGCGTTCTCGAGTTCAATCACTTGGTACAGGTTTGTGATAGGAGCTCCGGAGATCATGGCCAAAGGAGTGATTGTTGACTTTTCCAGATCCAGGTGACCAATGCGAGGCTTCTCGTTATTAGCCACGTACGATACGAAGTTGGTCAACCTGTCGCCGCCTGACACAGCTTTTGGTCCCTTGGCCTGTACGAGTTCGTTGCCGGCAGCATTTTTATGGAGGCGACCGTTGATCATGATGGAAACTAGCTTGCTGTGGTCCTGGAGAACCTTGATATTATCGAGAGGTTGGCCGTCAACTAGGATGAGATCGGCATAGTAGCCTGGCAGGACTTTGCCTAGTTCGTGCTCGCGCATGAAGAGCTTCGCGACACCTGCCGTCGCAGAGATTATTGACTCCATTGGGGTAAAGTCGAGAAGTTTGACGAAATGCTCTAGATCTCTTGCGTAGGTGCCATGCGGGGTCCAAGCAAATCCATAGTCACCACCTCTAAGTCATGAATTTTCGTCAGTCACATCATCCCCAAAGACTTGATATATTCGACAACAGGAGCCACTCACGGGAGTACGGTAATGCCGCGCTGGTGCATTTCCTTGCACGCTCTTATTGCCGTGTCTAACTCCTCCTTGTAGCCGGCCTTTTCAGCTTGGTCAAAGGAGTAACCAAAAGGGCCGGCTTCATGAATGGTGGCATAGAGCCAGTTGAGACCAGGGGCAACTACGTGGAGGTGCTTGTTTTTTTCAAGCTCATCCATAGTCTCCTTATCGATGTAGCTGGCGTGATAAATGACATCAAGGCCATACTTGATGCATTGGCGGACTGAATCCTGAGATCTGGCATGCGAACAGACCCTGAGGCCATGGCGGTGCGCTTTGATGGGTTGTTAGCCTTTGATTACCTTCAATATGTACGTTCCGGGTGACCATTTGGTGGTACCTTCTTCGACACAGGCGGCAGTCTCTTCCTCAGTAAAGTAGCTGTCCCTAGCAGCTCTTTCGTCGAGAATCTTTCCGTCTTTTAGTTATCATCGTTGCTAAAAATCTACAGGGGCTGGGTTTCTCACCTCTTCACCTGACATGCTGAGCTTGATTTGATCAACCCCAATCTTCGCATGGCTGCGAATTACTTCTCGCATTTCACGAGGTCCTGTTATCACAGTATCTTTTAGTTAGCACTCTCTGCTACAAGGGAGATTCGGGGACGAAAAGAAATGGAGGGAAGAGGGAGGAGGAATCGTGGAAGCCTGTACCATCAGCGAAGGCGGTGATACCAGCTGTCAACTCACCACCACGGCGTGCGATTTCCATTCCGTTTGCCAAGTATCGAGGACCCGCGAGTAATCCTTGATTGATACCATCGCGAATAACGACATCTAGTCTCGATTTTGCCGACGCCGCTCCGAAGCACCTTTATATGTTTTTTGCCTCGTTAGATTTCACACGCCCGGTGTCTTCCTTGAAGGCAAGAGTATTCTCACATAGTGTAGCCGGCATCTAGATAGGTCGCGGCTGACCTTGCGGTTGTGAGAGTGTGTTCCTCGACACCAATTTGTCCAAGGTTGTCTTCGACTGGTTAATACCAGTTTCAAGTTTACAGCGGGCAAAGTTCTTTGGGGCTTACCAAGTGCGCTTTCGTTCCAAGTGAAGTGGGTATGTGCATCCCCAAGGCCGGACATGAGAGTGCGGCCCTTTCCATGAATCACAGTAACGGTGGAGTCGTTCTGGAGTTTCTCAATTCCAGGGACGGTTCCGACGTATTTGATTCGTTCGCCTACGGTGTATTAGTTTCATGCCCCTCGTGGGCGGGTCATCCGTAAATTGCGTACCTTCAACAAGAACATCTCCCCGGAAGGGTTGCGCCCCAGTTGAATCCAGGCTGCAAATCTCGTGTCAGTTTCTGAAATGTTGAGGACTATTGGGAAAGAGATGGCGTACATGTTAACGTCGCGGAATAGAACGCGTTGGTGCTCTGGGGTTGCTATCCATCCATTAGCATATTCTCTCAAAGTTCTTTGGAGGTAAATGTGGGCTAAAAGCCATACATTGAATCACATGATCCTTGGGCTTCAGGTAGGCCGCAAACTTTAGATCATCATGAGGATGAAGAGTTCTGGTTGGTAGAGCAGAACCCCAGTCCTTCATGGTTCGGCCGTGGTGAAGTTGGGACATGGTTTCTGGGTGTCGACCACTGTCTTATTTACTAGAAAGAGGAAGATAGTTGGAATGAATGGGATGGGATTGAGAGTCAAGAGGGTGTAAGCCAGCTTCTGCAAGCTAACACAGACGGCAAGATTGGGAGGTGTGAACTGGAAAATAGGTATGCGCTTCTTAGCTGACGTCTTCTTCATTTTGCTTTATCTTTGCGTGCCAGCACGGCACTTATATACAGAATTCTTCATCTGTCGGCAGTTCACACCAACGATGTCCATCATGTAAAGTGTAAACATACCCCAGACTGGTAATCCCGGAATATCCCAAGGCCATGATTCATAGTGGATGGGCCGTGCGGGTTACCGTTTATCTCCGCTCCATGGCCGTTGAGCCCTTCTGGTGGTAAACGTCACGAGCTTCTCATTGCCAACATTACCCGGCTTCCTAATCCCGACATTCACCGTATTAGTTTTTTCCAAGCATCTCGGGTCGGAGTTTCAGAGTACCTGAACTTTGTTACAGACCAAGTATGCGTGACGCCATTTTGTCCGACCCCACTTTTGGTGAGTCGTTAGCGTCGGATTAAAAAGAAAGGCATCTAATTTTCTCCGATGCTATCCCCAACTTAGAACACAAGTTCTCTCGTCTCCGTTGCTAAGACTAGGAGGCGCAGTGACAGATATGTAATCGGATTCAAGTTCTGAAAGTTCGTCATCGAGCGATAAAATTGGTACTCCGAGTTCATAAGACCGACCCATTTAGCCAATCTTGGACCACATGAGCTACCTGGCCCGAGTTGATGGTGGCGATCCCCGCATTAACAATCTTCTCCGAGCCCATCTAATTTCTCACTATGATCTGTAAATATAATTGGAGCCATGTTCCTCTGAATATTCATTGAGTCGAGTTGTCGGGCCCTGGCAGCTTTCATTGCTGTTAAGCTTTATTCTCTTCCTCTTCCGTTCCTCTGAAATAGTTGTGCTCATTTACATATCTATTTGGCATTGGCATTATGGAGTCAAAGTGTAACGCAATTCACCTAGAATCTGTATCATCAACACCGAGAGGCCTCAAGGACAGACTACCCTTCATCCCTACAGAAGAAGTTAAGAAATGCGATGGCAAGAAAGATGCTAGAATCTGTGCGTACACAATACTTGCGATTATTGAGAAGTGTGTTAACCCAAAATATACAAATAGATATTGTTATTGACAGTTTCGTCTATAACGTGACGACTTTCGCTTCACGCCACCCCGGTGGACCTATGCCGTTCAACAATTTCGGCGGCAAGGACTGCACATGTAGGCCAACAGCAGGTTGACCTGAGGAGAAAACAATAATGAGATATGACTGTACTGATTATTTAAAATAGGGCAGGTCCAGAAGATTCACGGGAAAGAAACACTCGAGAACTATGCAGATTTGAGAATTGGGTGGACGGAAGGAGTGGAAAACCCATATGAAAAGCCAGAAAAACCCCGGATTGTAAAAGCTTTACAGGTTCGCTTTTAGAGCCATTATACCTGGACCAAGAATTCGTGCAGTAGCTTCACGAATGAGATAAATTATAATAGCCAATGAGAAAAAAAAGAGATATCCTACCCTGCACCGGTGATATATTTGCGTATCATGGACATGTATAGCTCAGACCTTTCTCTTTCTGCGATCGAATAGTTCAAACATAAAGCCCAGTACATCTCATGTAACCCGGGAAATAATCTACACAACTAAAGTGACTGGGTAGATACAGTTACATCCATACCAGAAGTTCCAGGCCGTCATTTCTCCGCTTCAATTACCTCCGAGCCGACGGTGGTTACGGTGTCGCCTAATTCTACCCGAGTGGAGAAGGACGGTTGATTGAAAACTTATTCTTGATTGAATGTCGGAAGCTAGGCAGGAACGCTATAGGTTGAATAACATTCTATACTAAACGTAGTGCAGAAGTTGAATGCATGGATGGCAGAAGGATAAGGACCTCGGTTGTGATTTAAACGTCCCTAACAGTAGCTTCAATGCTAATGATATCATCCCAAACCCCCTTCCAAAATTTTCAATCGTTAGTGAATAAAGCAAAGCAAAAAGGTTTGTTTCTTGGCTTGCCCAGCTCGTGGAGTCAGGGTTGAACCACTGGACTGTATCCATCCAGTTGTCAAAATACTCGCCAAACTCGTAATTAGGTCCATCCCGGCAGGCTTGGTCTTGTGAGTTTATCAGATGACTATATGGTTAGTTGGAAAGTTAAAAATATGCTTCTCTTTGGTCTTTGCTTACCGAAGATGTCTTAGTATAGGGTATGCCTTTGCGCAGATGGGAGACTGGTTTTGCAGCTTTTGCACACGATCGACGGCGGCTCCAAAAGCACGACGATGCTGGGCCATCTCTGAACTATCTTCGAGATTATCTAGAAAACAAGAAGCCAAAGCCATCGCTCCGTGGATTGAACAAAGGCTGATCATGTCAAATAGAAACCAGCGATAGGGTCGCAGTCGGGGAAGCTCAAAAAACTCCCCCTGCAGGCGCAGAAGGGCAGCGCCTGCCGTGATGCATCGTTTTCTGGAAGATGGAAGATACCTTGACGCAACATCCGTCGTCCTAGCACGGCAAAAAGGACGGTGAAGGAGCAGGTGCAGCTGGTGGGCATAGACTTGAAATATGCACCAGTACGCGTAGCTTTGAGGCTCCAGCACGCTCGGGGCCTGGCTTTCGAGGAACAGGAAATCCCATTTCTTCTGCTCTTCTGCAACCTCGGAATCTAGCGAATCTAATTCCGACTCAATTAGCTGAGATTGGGCCGAGAGCCTGCGGCAGATGCGACTGGTGATTCTGAAGAGACGAACTTTGGCGCAGAGCACCAAGTTTCCAATTTGATGGGGGGTTTTCTGTGAAATCGGACTGTCCAAAAAAATTGAGTCACTTATGATTTCGGTGAGGGCCCCTGGTATGTTGAGAAGGGACGTCGTATCGACATCTCGAAACAACAACAATTGGTATGTGTGTAATGATAGAATTGCGGCCCAGCAGCGGCGTTTACGTTCGAAGTCGGTAGTATTGCTTTCCCGAGGTTGTGACTGGAGATTACATTGAAGGGCAACCCCCATATTCAACGCCAGGCCTGAATGGCAACCATCAGTATCGCAAACGGGGAGAGACATATTGTGTCGACATGGTGGACCGTACCTAGCAAGGACCATGCTGAGTCAACTCCAGCATCGTGATTGGTCCCATATATAATGAGAAGAAGAGATTCGAGAGTGTGGAAGCATGGGTGGAATAAGAAATTATTTTGCATGAGACAACCTATTGCAGCCTTGCGCAGCTCTGTAGATAGAGCTATGTTGTCGTCAGCGTGTGGGAGTCGAGTACGAAGATCAGTCAATGCAGGGTCCTCCCACTCTAAGGTGTGAACCGTCGTAGACAAGATGGCAAACAGAAGTGATAACCAAATCAGGCCTCCCGTGGCAGGGTTGTCTCTATGCTTGATATACTGGTTTTGAAAGGCCGAAGGGTCCAGTATTTGGAATAGTGGTGCCATGTATGTGAAGTACTGGATTAACATGTAGTCTACGCACTTCGGTGCGGGGAGCAAGGATAGAATGTCCGTCGAAGGTACGTGTGAACCCATTGAAATTTGTAGAGGGCTATTATCGAGATGATCAAGTTTGTCATGGCTGGGGTGAGCGTCCTGCTCCGTGGATCGTTGCCATAGGGCATCCCAGCTGGCACGAGTAAAGTCCTGGCTTTCTAGGTCTGTATCAGGGACTACCAAAGTCGACCGATCTTGGTAGGTGCTATTGGAAAAATCGGACGGCCCAGTCCTATCCATGGTTTGACAGTTATCTGGTGATGGATTACGTGATCCTCGGGCAGATGATCTGGCGCGGCCATCATGATATCGGCACACTTGGCTAGGTCCCCGTCGGCTGCAGGCACCACAAGGAACTTGACGGTCGCAGCGAAGTTTTGATCGACGACAGGGTTCACAGCTGGTCGGCTTGCGCGGGTGACGTTGTTTGCGGCGGACGACTGGCTGTCCAGTTACAACAGGCGATGGTTGACTCCTATCGCCCTCGGGATCGGCCTCGAGGCTTCTGCAAGACATGGCGGTGTGCACCAATTGAATTCGAAATCTGCTCAGTGTAGGGAGCGTATCGAATGAGTTGGGGGTTGCGGAGAAGAGCAATGAGTGGATTGTCTCCGGCCCGGGGAAAATTTGGGGTTCTCAAAGGGGCCCCCTTTATTTTTGCCACACCCATTGGCTAATCTAGAGTTGGTCTAATTTACTGGGGCAAGGAGGGGGATGCGGGATTCGCTTGCAAAGGTCCCCGCCTCCACAATTCAGTAGAGCAAGCTCGGATCGGATTATTACCTGAGGTTTTCTTATGAGAAACAGTCTTGCATAAACTATATTAGAGGACAAATGTCTGCCATGTTGCAGAGCTTCAATATGATGTTCGATCCAGTTGTCCCTGATCAGGATTCATTGTCCAAGCTCCAGATTTGTTCTCCGTCCAACATCCGCGACCATGACATCCTCCTCCGCCACAAAACACCAAGATCAGGGTGTTCACCAGGAAGATATAAGCCGCACCTATACTGCTGGCGGACACGTGGAAGACCGTAGCCAGCCAGGTCTACCTACTATCCATCGAAAGCTTGCCAACCCTTCCCCATTAGGATTTTTGTCCTTTGCCACGAGTGAGTCTGGCTCCCCTTAGGACTCAGTGCAAGATACTTGTTGCTGACCCTGTTCAATACAAGGCATGTTCCTTATTTCGACCTTCGGCATTCATGCCCGAGGTGTTGCCATCCCCAACGTAATGATTGCCGTCCTGATCTGTTTTGGCGGTGTTGCCCAATACATTGCCGGCATAGTGGAGTTTATGACTGGAAACACCTTCGGAGCTAGCGTCTTTGTATCTTATGGCGCTTTCAATCTATCCTACGGTCTAATTTACCTTCCGGGCACGGGTATCATATCCGCCTACACCGACGATAAAACTGGCCAGCTCAGCTCTAGCTTCAACCAAGCTATCGCCATATATGTTTGGGCATGGTTTATTCTGACTGTGATTTTCACTCTGGGAGCCATAAGGGGCTCATGGGTTCTCTTTATAGATCTTTTGTTACTTGATGTTGTGCTTCTGATGCTCGCTGCCGGTCTCATGGTGGATAATAGCAAACTCACTCTCGCGGCATATAGCCTGGGATACATTGTCGCATTTCTAAGTTGTTCGTCCCGACCTAGCTCTCTGACTCTCATGATACGAATACTAATAACGTCATTTTCTAGACTGGGCTGGATCGGCGGGTCTCCTCTCGGGAGCCACGCCCTTTGAGCTACCTATGTTTCCCATGTTTGCCGACAGGGACTGATGGCGAGAATAGACGGCAGACGGAACAGACGTAGTCTCATGCCCTGTTCAAAAGCGTTCACTGAGACAGGTGACTCCTCAGCGATCAGATCTAGTAAAGCCGACCGGTACCGTATGTGCAGGTGCCTGGCCAGTGTCGTTATTGATGGCGTGGTCTAGATGTTTTAGCTCTTCATCACCGATGCGACTCAACGCAATGATTAAATTTGGTATTTCTGGACTTGCCTCATATCTCCCACTCTTCCAATTCTTCTTCATCTCCCACAGCTTCCGTAGCTGCTAGCTGTAATGCTTCCCCCCTATCTCTGTCTCGACGGCTTCGGTGTATGCCATGGCCTCTTCGTTATCCATCATGGTTGTTGGCCGCCCAAGACCGGTTGTCAAAACCTGCCATGTTGCGTCCATTACGAAAGGTCGCACGCGGTGTTTGGTAAGGATACAGTCGAAGCTGTCGAGGTGGTTCTTTTGTTTGAGCATGTGGTCAATTTGTTGCTTTAGATGTGGGAGACGGCTCACAACAACGGGAATTGGAGCCTTGCTAGTGGGAACAGCACCTAGCTCTCCCGTTCGATCCACCAAAACTTTGACAGAATAAGATTGGCGAACTTCATAGATAGGAGAATGGTCAGCAAGACGGATCACCGCGTATATAAAATCCCTTTTGAGTATGAGCCAAACCTTTACAATTAGGGTGGGATTAAGCTGTTTGGCAAATGTGTCTCAGATTTTGGTCAATGTACTTTTTCCGAGCAGGATGGTGATGAGTAGGGATCCCTAGACCCTAAGCAAGTCTTCTCCTAGCCTGGGGAAGTGCTCTTGGGACACATTCTGTCAGCTCCGCACGAGCAAGCCATGGTGAGATGACAGAAAACCAATCGAACTTACACTTTTAAATTGCGTATCTATTCATAGGAAATACCAAAACTGCGGGCTAAATGGATTTGGCATATGTTTGACTGACAACCAGATGAATGTTATGTTGTTATGTAAAACGTAATAGGAGGGCTTTTTGGCTGATCCAGGAAGCAGCAGGATGAAATACAATACAACACGAGGGAAGGTACAGTACAGGAACGGGAGAGGAAGAAAGCAAAGGAGGCCGTGATAAGTAGACATCTGTTTCCATATTTCGGAGACCTTCCTTGCGGGTCAGGAGCAACAGTTGTCTCCGAAGCGAGCCCTGATGTTGTAAGGCACATTTCGTCGCCATCCAAACGAATTCGAAGAATCCGAAAGATCCCGCTACACGCTCCAATTAAATTGTATTATTTTTCCACACTTATATACAAGTTTGGGCTTGTTGTTCTCAGCCCTGGCTGGTTGCTTAATTCCGGCACCAGGGGACATCTCCGATGTTAGCGGCGCAGCTCACGGCATCATGGAAGCGAACGCGATCCAAGTGGGTTTGTTGTCTCCGAAGGCTCGACTAGGTAAAATTTTTGGAATTCTAATCACCGAAACAGTATCGGGCACGGCAAACATTGAGAGTAGGTCAGACTGGGGCAGGCACCAACGCACAAGTGAGCCTTGAACACGCCGGAGTCTTAGATTGTTAATTGACGTAATCTGGACAAGGGGACCTCATCCTCGTCTCATAATTATTGTATTGAGTCTCCGAACTACGATGAGCCGGCAATCCCGGGGTGGAGCAGGGTCTGCGGGCTCGCTCTTTCACATACCTTGCCCACAATCAACCAGTGTTTCCAGTTACCAAGATGGATTATTTAAACCCAGCGAAATATCGGAAATCTATGATCCTAACATCTCTTCAAACATCAGTTCTTGTATTGAAACCTTCATCATATCAATTTACCATACCACAACAATGCAAGCCCTTCCTGGTTCCTCCACACGAGCCTCGTCCCGGACGCGGGCAGACAAGCTTCCAGTATATCGACCCCTAGGCCGCAACATCGGCGTGGTATTCGAGAACATATCTGCCTACGGACACAGTGAAGGATCTCGCCATGCACCTGATCTTGGTCAAATGGCCATGGCTGCAGTGAGGGCGCCCATACGACTCGCAACTCGTGTGTTTGGAGGCAAGGGCGAGGCCTCCAAAAGGATCATCGAGGACGTTTCGGGGGTTGTATTCCCTGGCGAAACTTTGCTTGTTTTGGGTCAACCGGGCTCTGGCTGCTCGACGACGCTCAAGATCATCGCCAACGAGCGTTCGACGTACCCAGTTGTAACGGGTAAAGTCACATACGGCTCCATGCCATCTGAAGCATTGACCGGAAAATATGCATCGGAGGTAGTGTACAACCCGGAAGACGACAACCATTACCCCAAGCTGAAGGTCAAACACACCGTGGACTTCGCACTTCGACTAAGAAAGCCGGTACAGTGCAAAGACGACGATTCTGCCGCATTTTCGGAGACTATGACGGACTGTCTGCTCGGTTCCCTTGGGATGAGGCACACCAAGGATACTATTGTGGGAAACTCCTTTGTCCGCGGTGTCTCTGGGGGCGAAAGAAAACGAGTCTCGTTGGCCGAAGTCCTCACCATTAACCCAGCAGTGGCTAGTTGGGACAACCCAATTAGAGGTTTAGACAGCTCTTCAGCACTTCAGTTTCTGTCATTGTTGAAAAAGATGTCAGACGAAACTGGAATGGCAAACATTGTCACTTTGTACCAGGCATCCGAGTCCATGTACCAACAGTGCTTCGAGAGAGTGCTCGTCATGTACGAAGGGCGAATGATCTTCTCTGGCAAGGCGTCAGATGCACGAGAATACTTCATCGGCCTTGGCTTCGACACATGGGATAGGCAAACAACACCTGACTTCCTCACCTGCGTGACATCTCCATCAGAAAGGGCTGTCAGAAGAGACTATCTTGGCTCGGTCCCGAAGACCCCAGATGAATTTGCCGCTGCGTTTAAGCAAAGTGTGCACTACCAAACTCTTTTGTCAGACATTGAAGGGTATCATCAGAGCTTTGCTTCCGATTCTCAGCGCGTACTGAATTTCACCAAGGAAGTAGAACGTGTGAGGTCAACGATGTTTGCACCATTTGTAGAGCCATCGTCAATCTCTACACAGGCCTGGGCGGCAACATGTCGATACTATCGTCTGCTCTGGGGACATCGACTGGATTTCTATCTGGTACTGTTCCTTAACGCGGCGAATGCTGTTATCAATGGATCAGCATATTTCATGGCCCCCAAGACTGCCACCGGCTCATTCGAGAAGGGTGGTGCCATCTTCTTCTCTCTGATTTACTTCTTCCTAAACGCTCTAGCCGAGGTTTCGTCCACTATCGATGCGCGATCAATCCTCGTCAAACAGCATAAACTCGGAATGATACATCCCGTTTCCTTTGTGCTTGCCCAGACCATGGCGGATATACCTGTGGCGGTGGTCCAATCTCTGGTGTTTGCTTGTTGCTATTACTTCATGCTTGGCCTGCACAAGACGGCCTCAGACTTCTGGATATTCCTCCTGATCTTATTTACTCATTATTCGGCCGTTTCCAGCCTGTTTCGAATGCTGGGAGCCTGGGCACCAAATCTCAACATTGCTCTGCTCATGGCAGGAAGTGCGATGCCAATTTGTCTCACGTATGCTGGTTACGGTCCCCCAGTTCCCACGATGCATCGATGGGGGTCCTGGATCCGCCGAATTTCCCCATCTCCATACGCACTCGAGGCTCTTATGAGTAATGAGTTTTCGGACATCACATTAACATGCACCCCCGATCAAATGGTACCGAATGGCCCGGGCTACGATGATATGCGGTATCAAGGGTGTACGCTCCCAGGTAGCGTAAAAGGATTCAACGAAGTGCCAGGATCAACGTACCTCTCAATTATTTATGACTACTCAAGGTCAAATCTTTGGAGAAATTTCGGCATTCTCTTGGTCATGTGGTTTCTCTATGTCGTTGGCACTGCTATTGGTCTCACCGTCATGACCGGTGAGTCTGGCAGCAACGGCGGGCCCGTTTTCAAGAGTGGCGCCAAGATTGAACAACACCATACAAGGGAGACGAAGCCTACAGATGTCGAGCACAATGCTGCGTCGGCAGTCCGGTATTTGGAGCCCGTGTCGTCCAACACATCCATTACCCGTGTCGCTGTGACTGATGAAGTCACGGCAGTCACAGACGAATCCAAAGAGCTGTCATCTAAACACGATACATTCACATTCCGAAACGTTTCCTACTTTGTTCAAGTTGATGGCAAAGAGAAGCAGCTCCTACACAACGTGAACGGTTACGCGAAGCCAGGCCAACTTACCGCCTTGATGGGTGCCTCTGGTGCCGGTAAAACAACACTGCTGGACACAATCTCACAGCGTAAAGATGTAGGCAGAATCGAAGGTGAAATGCTCATGGGCGGGAAACCTCTCGGCCAGTCATTCTCTAGGTCTTGTGGGTTTTGCATGCAGCAAGATATCCATGAACCGACTGCCACAATCAGGGAAGCCTTGGAGTTTTCTGCAAAGCTCCGGCAGCCACACCAGGTACCGGTTTCCGATAAGCTTGCCTACGTGGATGAGATCATCTCTCTTCTAGAGTTGGATCCAATTGCGGACGCCTTGATCGGAGAGCCTGGAGATGGAGGCCTGAATATTGAAGAAAGGAAGCGAGTCACTATTGGTGTTGAGCTTGCGGCGAGACCTTCCGCACTCCTATTCCTTGATGAGGTAAGTTATCAAATATTTGTACATTCAAACGTCAATTTACTAATACTTGTGTCCTTTGTTTTCAACTCCAGCCGACATCAGGACTTGATAGCCAAGCCGCCTTCTCTATTATATCGTTCCTGCAAAAGATAGCCAGGCAAGGCGTGCCTGTCGTTTGCACTATCCACCAACCATCTGCCGTTCTTTTCCAAATGTTCGACCACGTCTTATTGCTTGCACCAGGAGGAAAGACGGTGTTTTTCGGCGAAACCGGACCATTCTCCAAGAATGTAATTGATTATTTCGAAGCCAACAATGCAGTCATGGGGCCTTCGGAAAACCCTGCCGAGTTCATCATCTCTACGGTCACAGACTCATCTCCCCGTGCCCCGGACTGGGCTCGTATCTGGGACGAGTCTAAGCAGTGTGAAGCGCTGCGAAGGGATATTCAAATAATCAACGAGAACCCGATAAACAGCACATTTCAGGCGCACGAGTCTAGCACATCGGCTTACGCGCTCCCCCTCTGGGCACAGGTCGTCGAGCTGACACGTCGACACTGGATCGCAGTCTGGCGTTCCGGCCCCTACAACTTCAGCAAACTATTCAAGGCCATATTTTGTGAGCTCTTCATTGCATTCACTTACTTCAAAGCAGGGCCTGATCTGCAAGGCATACAAAATTACATGCTAGCTCTGTTGATTATTGTATGGATTATCCCGGCTAGCGCTGCGGACATCCAGAACATTTGGTTTGGGAAGTGGGCTATATTTGAAGCCCGGGAGAGAAACGGAATATACAACTATAAAGCCCTTCTCGCAGCACTGACAATAGTCGAGATACCCTGGCAAATCATATGCTATACGGCCGTCTTTCTATGTACCTATTGGACGGTCGGCTTCCCAAACGTGACTAACACAGCAGGCTATGTATACTTCATGTATCTAGTTCTCAGTCTATTCGCCACGAGCTTCTGCCATTTGATGGCAGCCATCTTCCCCAACCCTACAATCTCGGGATACGCAAACTCGTTGTTCTGGGTGGCTCTCACGGTATTTTCAGGAACTCTAGTTCCCCACCGCGCCATGAATTCGTTCTACCGTCCCTGGATCTTCTGGGTTGACCCCCTTCGCTATTTCCTAGGAGGAACTGTTTCCAACGTCCTCGACGGCGTCAAGGTGGAATGCAACCAAAACGATTTAACGTTTTTCGACCCCCCCGCGAACCAGACATGCTTTGAATACGCGGAGAGTTTTCTATCCACGAGCACGGGCTATCTGATCAACCATGACGCGGTAGATTCGTGTGGATTCTGCAAATACACCAAGGGTCAGCATTACACAGACACCATGGATTACTTTAGTCATGATCGATGGAGGGATTGGGCGGTGCTACTGGGTTTTTCCTTCTTCAATGTAGCTGGTATCTGGTTCTTCACCTGGCTTTATCGGGTGAAGCTCAGAAGATAAATACTTACTGGTAGATGGCGGTGGCCCTGGTTGAAGGGATGGCACATATAAATTGATAAGAGGCACAATGGATCAGAATTGTCAGTCATCTAGATCCGCATCGTTCAACTCAAGGCCCAGTTTTCAGAGCCTACCTTGGCTTGAACCTTGCAATTAGGCAGAAGAAACAGATAGATATAGAAATACAACGATTTTAGTTTGAGAAAAGCCGTTAAGGTTTATTGATTAAAAAATTATAAATAGACCCAAGAAAAAAATGAGATATACAATTTACTGACCCATGTTCCCCATGGGCATTGACAGCTCGTCAAATTACCTGGGATCGTGAAATGGAGGGTTTCAGCCGGGCTAAGACCTTGCTTATCTATAGTGTACGCGGATAGTAATTGATAGTTCCAATCTGGCATACTTAGATGATGTTACGCCGGATAAGACCTGATATGATGTCATGAAGTAAACAGGGGGGTCAAGGTATTGGAGGCCGTGGGCGTATCTTCAACCTAGTCAGGTTTCACTGGAACTTTGAGACTGGTTCTCTAAGTAGGTATTGACGAGTGGGCCATTCGCATTTGCGCGAACAGATGTCTTACCCATCCATCTCTGCGCTAGGGGAACCTCATGGGGATCACTCGGTTGAGATTTTCATGGCCAATGAAGCCACCAGGGTGATTTCCTGACCCTCGCCTTCAATGGTTCCTCTCCCTTGACCAACACACGAAGAATACATAAAAGATGACTTGACCTAATCCATCTGCCACAATGTCTATAAGTTTAATAATCCCAACTGAGCAACACCCCTTAGCCTTAACCCCTAGGGATTTAAGTTAGACCCTATGAAACCAGGGCAGCATCAGCATATAGTCTTACTTATATTATTATTAGATGTTCCGCCTTAGGTTCGGACTTTAGAAACCTCGCGATTATTGAGATATTATCTTCATTTAGATCAACTCACGCCGCAAGGTTCAGTCCATACTCCCCTGAACTAGTATAACCCCCTACATTAGCCTTGATTATCGTGTTAGTCGCTGAAATAACTACCTAGCGTTAAATTGATATTCCTTTAAAGGGTCTAACTAATTCCTAGTTACAAGTGTTTAAATAAGACAGCGACTGACGACTAAACGATACTACACCAATGATATAATCAACCACTGCTCATCGCCCGCCGTAGTAGCTCCACCTCCATGTAGAGAGTTCTCAGATTGGCTAAATGGAGGAGAACGTGCCTTGGTTAGTGGCCATTTAGTTCATTAGCATGTTTTTCACTTTCTAGTCCTCGCTCGTGTTGCCAAATATCTCCCTCTCTTGATGTCAGTGTGCCAGCAAGACAGACTATAAGACACTAGATGCCTTGCTCGAGCACACTGTGAGGCAGGGAACGTATCTACACCAACAACCACCCTCAATCCCAAGCAAATTCGCCCACCCATGAACACTTCTAGTAAGCATAAAAGAGCCTAGCCTCATTGTCCGTCAGCCTAATCTTGTGATTCTCACGAATCAGCATCCACCTCATGACCCAAGCCAGGATGGCCGACGCGGCAGAAAACGCAGCGCTAGTAGACATGGCAATCACATATCGTGGTTCATCTGAGCTTGGCCAGAGATACTACGATCAGTCAGCGGCAGGCTCAGACATTGGGAGTTGCTGCAAGATTTACCGGGGTGTAGATGGGCCCAATTGTGGCGACGGTATTGGCAATGGCCAACGAAATGGCCTTCTTCTCCTTTGTCTGCCCGCAGGTGCTAGAAACCCAGCCCAGGATAACGCTGTTGCAAGCGTAAACGCCACTGGTAAAGGCACACATGGCAAAGTATCGTGCTCCAACGTTCATTGTCGTACAGGCCAAGACGAAGCCAAAGATGGCGAGGACTTTGGCGACTGTGATGTGCCAGGTCCTCTCATTCATCCGTCCTGCATGTAGTTAGTAGCTATCCCTTCAACAAATCTCGGAGGCGCTCACCTGAACTTGCTGCCCAAGCAATGCACACGATGCCAGACACAATGTACGGGGGACAGGTCAACGCCAGCGTAGCATTACGTCCAAACCCAAGCGTTCCAACAATAGTAGGGAAGAAGTTCTTGAAATTGCTGGCGGCCATGTGGAAATGCTGCATAAAGACAAGGACCCAAAGCCGGGGGTCCTTGCACGCATCAACAAGACCAGCCCAGGTCGTGGTGTTCGTCTTCTTCTCGACGGTATCGACTGCAATCCGATCATGGGCCAGCTGACGCTCCTCCTCCGACAGCCAGCGAGTATTCAGGGGCTCATCTGGTAAGATCCAAGCCGATACGATGGCGAGGACAAACGTAATAATGCCCTGGAGAATGAAAAGCCATCTCCAGCCTGATAGGCCCGCGACGCCACCCATCTGGAACACTCCAATGGCGATTAGGCCGGCAAAGGCGGTGCCGCAGATGTTTGCGGTGAAGAGTATAGAGATTCGGGTAGCGATTTCTTTGCGAGTGTAGAAGATGGAAAGCATGTAGAGCGCGCCTGGATAGAAAGGGGCTTCGGTGATACCGAGGAAGAATCGGGTGAGTAAAAGGCCCTTGAAGTCTTTGGCGACGGCGGTGAGGGTGCTGACAACTGCCCAGAGAGCCATGGCACCGGCCATGAACAGCGAAGGGCGAATTCGGGTCATCAACATGTCTAAGATACGAGTTAGCGAAGCTAAGAGAGGAGACTTGGTAAGTCACTGACTGGAGGGGATCTGCCCGAGAATATATCCAACAAACAAGATAGAAACGCAGGTCTGGTACTCGGTCGAGGTGAGCTTGAGCTCCTTCTCCAGATTGTCAAGTCGAGCAACGGTGATTGCGTTGCGGTCAAGGTAGTTGAACCAGTACATGATCCAGAGAATGGGAAGGATAATCCAATCAAGCTTGCGGACGAGCTTAATCTCAGCCGGATCAGTTTTCTTGTGCGCTCCAGTGTCATCCACCGTCGAGAACATGCCAGTGGTCTGGTGTTTCTCCAGGTGGTGACACTCGCCCTTGTCTTCGACATCGCGGGCCAGGTCCGTAGAAGTTGTATGGGCTTGAGTCCCAGACATGATGGGTTGAGCTTTGTTGTAGAAGTTGTGTTGAGTTCAGAGATGGTGGTGATCTTGCAGAGAAAAGCCCGCTGGAGGGACAGCAGGCCATCCTGATATAAATAAGAAAGGATGAAGATGGTTGCTTCCTACCCCGTGGTTTGAGATTTCCCCGGAATTACCCCACGTTGCCGCTAGAACTGGCCTGATCATTATATCCTTTTTCGGCATGGGGGGACGTGCTGGCCTAGCTAGACCTCTTGGAGTGGGCTCACTCCCCAACAGCAGCCAGTCGGATGGAATGTATTACAAGCTTGATTGCATGGCCATTTTTCTTTTATAACCTCACGTATAAACCAAAACCCCTCTCGCTTTCTATGAATAGGAGTAGTATTGCCCAATTGCGATACCTAACCGCTCTCGGTGTTTGCTCGAGGGCAGCATCCTCACCATGATTTTGAAAACTGAACGCACGGGGAGTTTTCTGAGACTTGGCATGTGAGGAGCATTCTCGACCAAAGCGAACTAACCACGACGCTATTTCCCTTATTAGCGTGGCTGCATCAAAGGTTGTTTGTTTGGTCGGATAAGGGCGGCACTGTCCGGGCCGGAGAGGATATCAATGGCCCGACCTTGGCTGGGGGCCTGCGTCTGCAATATAGGAACCCGACAAGTAATATCGACTAAATTTCCCCACAAATGGTCATAGCTACCTCCCCGATTCTTCAAGCGGTCACAGCTCCCGCGTGTCAGGGCTTCAGAGTTTATCAGAAGCCAGAACCACGAGTAAGTCTGATACCAGTACCCCTTGCTGCGTATTTGCTCACTACCGGTTAGGATCCGTCTTCATTCTGTGCCACTCCTCAATGAGCAAAGAGGCATCGATCTCATCCCCTCCGAAGCACACGAGGAATTACTCGATGCCCTAACCCTTCGACTATCCTAATATCCCGAATACACCACTGCCGTCACCCTGATAAGAGATCTGGTCCAGTAAGTTCTCGACCTCTACATCGAACAAGTTATGTGTTATACCGATTAAGAACTATCCGACGAAGTGTGAAAACTGGGGTCTGTCCTCCGTATCCAGCACTTTAAAGAAACATTGGAGGCCTTTCCGCATGGAATACCCTGCGAGCGCGTGCTTGTCCGGGCATATTTAGTAGCAGCTTTGGGGAGTATTCTAGATGAGGATAGGGATTTCTTTGAGCAGGTATTGCTCAGTTATTATTCGAGAAGCGGGTTTATGAATATTCTGGCGGGGCTGGATTGTTTGAGAAGGCTGTGGCTTCAGAGTACCGGGGAGAGATGGACTTCGCTGCTGGCACGAGTCAAAATTCTCGTCATGTAAAGTATCATTATACTCAAGCCCCCATTTTATTGTTTGGAGATACTAGCGTTTCCAGCATCAGTCTCTTGTTTTGGGTGGATTAGCCTTTTGTTTTTACTGCTATGATTATTCACGTAACCCTCAAGCCCCTAAGTCTTCCCTTGCGGAGTTATTGTGTTTCAACTTAAAGAAAATGGTCACAGCTGGCGACTACTTAGAGAGGTCCTGGTGTTTGTAACTTGTCTATTATTCGATCTACCAGTCGATACTCGAATCACTACCGCTATCGCATAAGCTCACTGGTTGCTGCTTTCCATTTCCATTTTGTGCCTTCTTCTTCCCAGCCTTTACCCTAGGCATCGTGATACTGCGGAAGACCTTGCTCCCGAGTTTGCTATACAAGGGCAACACGCCTCCAGCTTGTAAAAGAGTTTCTTCAATATCAGACTGCTGATAATGAAAGACCTTGTCGTAGCCTTCAATCTGGATAGTTTTGCTCTCCTTGTCGATAACAATGACTGAGCCCTCTTGTGCAATCTGGTAAAACTCGTCGTCTTGCAACTTGATGTTGAAGAGACCCATGTTCAGTTGGTTGCGCTCGTCTGTAAACGTTAGTCATGATTGGAAAACAAGAAAAGTTGATTTCACGTACAGATGAATGCAAAGCCCTTGGCAATGACTGCTTCTACCGCGGCTCCTTGTAATGCTCTTACGGCGTCTTCTCGTGATGATCCGCTGCCGAAACCGTGCTCCGCAACGCTATAGGTTATAAGTACATTTGCATGTGGCAGGTTTAAAGGATGACAGCTTACATGACACGAGATCCTGCAGAGGCCTTTTCTCGGAAAGTTGGACGAAAGTACTGGAAGCAATGGCTTCCTAGCTCGGCATTATCGACTCCAGGCATGAACTCGGCGGGAATGATGGCATCTCTATGATGGATTAGCACTTCCCCAATTCCGTCTCCAGGTTTGTTTGAATTTGGTGAAACTCACGTATCAACATTTTCTCCAAATCTTTGCACCTTTGATCGTACCAGCATGCTCGGCTGGAACTGAGACGCAGCGTCGTCGGGGCCTGATGGCTCATCAAAGATCTTCGGCACTGTATTCAACGCAGCTTCCGGATCAGGCTCGCTTATCGTCAGGGTAACTCCTTCACCACTCGCCCTAAACCCCTTCACCAAACCCTCCAATCTCTCCCTATCCAACTGAGCCAACAGCTCCTTGGGATCAGTCACCACCATGTCAAAGCTCGACGCCGCAACGGCAGCCGCGCAGGTAATGTTTCCAAAACTGCCCTTGCCCATGCGGTTTCGGAAATTGCGGTTCTGAGAGGACAACCAGACTTCCCCCTCTCCGGCGACATCGACGTCGTTGATCCCGACGCAGTAGGAACATCCTGGGGCACCAATGTCGAAGCCGGCTTGGCGGTAGATTTCTAACATACCCGCACGTTCTAGGTTCTTGATGATGATGAGACTACCTGGCGTGACGCGCCGTTTTCCTTGGGGTTTTGGTCGAAGTCCTGCACGAAGACCAGCTTCGAGAACTAACGCGCCAATGATCAGGTCTTCCTCTGTGGTCGTGCAAGCACCGATGAAGCATCCGTCGAGCTTCATGCCTGCCTTTTCTGACACAGGTACTACGTTGTCCGGGTTAGGATAGAGTGCCATGGTGACGCTGACAGTGGACAGATCAATGGTTCTCTCCTCGACATAGACGGCATCGGGGTCCGCGCGGAAATATAGCCCGCCTTGTCGGTGTTCTGGATGTTGGCGCCGCGCGATCCACGCCGCTGTTTCTTCATCTGCTTCGAAGCAGGCGCCCATACCACCAAACTCCGTGTTCATGTTTGCTATAGCAAATCTCGCATCCATGGAGAGTTCTTTGAGGCCTGGGCCGCCGTACTCGACAGCCCGTTGGAAAGCAATGGTGTTGCGCTTGAAGAGACCCAGGATATGAAGAATGACGTCCTTGCCGCCCACCCCAAACGGCAAGCTGCCCACAAAGTTGATCCTGCAGACTTCAGGCACGCGGAACCACGTCTCGCCCGTCACCATGGGCATGACCACATCCGCCGCACCAAACCCAACCGCAAAGGACCCCATGCTCCCCGCTGAACAAGTATGCGAGTCACTGCCCACGACAATACGCCCTGGCTGAGCCCGTTCTCTAGTGAAATCCGTATGCATGATGCTGGTGTTTGCGGGCAGAAAGTCGATGATCTTGGCTTCCCGACGGAACCGCTCCGCTCTGGCCATCAGACCTTGCTGCCGGGGCAGGTGGTTCGAGCGCGGGTCGACAGTATGGTCGACAGCGAGCCAGAGTCTGTCGTTGCGGAAAGGCCGGGGACGGCCCATTTGGTCGTATGTCTTTTCCATTCCTCCCCAGAGGAGCTCGGATGTGATTGTCCAGTCGACTTTGACGCAAATCATGTCGCCGGTGTCGACGTGGGGTTTAGTGAGACCTACGGCGGCGTGAGTGAGGATCTTCTCAATGACACTCAGCGGTCGGCGTTTTACAGTGAGGGCTGGCGATGATGGTTGACTTGTTATTGGAGAGGAGGCTGCTAACTGGGCAGAGTTGACAGCCTCGAGGTAGTAGTCGAGGTTGTGCAGCAAGACATTCATGAATTCGTCTGCTGTGGCTGTGCCGCCAAGGTCAGCGGTCCTTGTATCCGACCCAATCAGTTCCACGGGATCCAAGGTGCGACGAATAGCCTTGGACAGGGCATCGCTTTCGGCAGTCAGACCCAGAGACAGCTCGAGCATCAGGCCAACAGCCTGTATCACGCCAAGTGGGTTGACTAGTTTCTCCCTAGGCTTGAGATTCAACGGCTCGAATATTCCCGGTGATGTTGAGGAGCGGTCAATCGAGGACACGGCAGCTGATGCCAAAATATCTGGTGATCGAAGGATCCCACCAGCCTGGTCAGAGAGAATGTCGCCAAACATGTTCTCGGCCAACACCACGCCGTTCAAGGTGAGAGGATCAGACGCAAGCAGCATAGATGCCGTGTCTACCAAGACATGTCTGAGTGTCACTTGGGGAAACTCTTGTGAAAAGATTTCCGTCACCACGGACCGCCATAGCCGCGATGTCGCCATAACATTCGCCTTGTCGATGGAGTGGACTGGCTTTGGTGGCGTGAACTGCATGGCACACGTGCCAGCCAGCCGCGCCAGCCTCTGAATCGTTGGGCGGGAATATTTGGTCATGTCGTATGCCTCGCCGTCCTCTCCGGCTTCTTGCTTGGGTCCATAGTAGACCCCGCCCGTGAGGTCTCGAAAAAAGGTAATGTCAAGCTGCTCGACGACTTCTGCCCTGAAGGCACTCTGCTGGACCACCTGTGATGAGGGGAATCTGACTGGTCGGACATTGACGCTCGCGCCCAACTCCTTTCTCAGAGTCAACAGGCCCTCTTCTGGCTTGATGCCATACCGAGGATCGCCGCACTGGCAGATTATGGTGGCATCGGACTGTCGGCAGCTATCTATTGTCGATGGTGGTAGTGAAGTGCCAGCCCCTGCTGTGAGAGCTGCCCCTCCAAAGTCGTGAGTGGAGATGTTGAATGAAACGTCTCGGCGGATGTGCTGGATCAAATTCAAGGTGCGTTCCACATACGAGGCAAGCTTGGGCCCTTGCCCGTCACCTGGTAGTAGGGCGACATGGAAGGTGTGACTGTCGAT